GTACAATTCAAGTACTTGACCAGTTTAATAACCTTGCCAAAGTGGCAGACATGCTTAAAGTTTTAATACAAACCTTAGCAGTAAATCAATATTAATGGCTAGATACCTTAGAAAGGGGGAAACCCAAGCCAGTAAATGAGCACGAGAGCAATGAGAAAGGAGGGATTGAATTCCCAGCACTGTGCCACGGCTGCCACTACGCAGTCACCACCTACTACAGCAGCCACAGGACCGTGGGGAGCCTTCCCTGGCCAAAGATCTTGGAAGAATAAATGACATGGGCTTGTTTATTTAAAAGAGGAGGTATGAAGAATTATAGTAATATACTATCAGCTAGGAAATACTCACTTTTTCTACTAATGGTATTAACTGCTGGTGCTCTGCTAGAGTCTTTAACAATTCCATGATGAAAGGCAGGTAGTTATGTTTTCTTCTAATATTTTCAATCTAAAAATAAGTTAAAAGCATTAACAGAATTATTATATAGCTGAACTATCTTCTAGTCCCCATCCAGTTCCTTCAGATTAATTGCAAAGCTCCCATATATATACATACACACACATTATATATATTATATATATACATTTTATATACATACATACACATACATTATATATATATAATATATAATTTATATATATATAATTTATATATATATATAAATAAATGCTAGCTTTTTATTACAACTGTTTCAATAATTTAATCAGAAAAGCAAAGGCTACATACCTTATATCTTTTTAATTTTTGGTTCTCTTCTTCAATTAACATCTGGTATTTTGCAACTTCTGATTGTAAAGAACTTAACATATTACTACTTTGGTCTGTATCCATAGGCTCCTCCTTCCACAAAACAAAAATTTAAATGGATGATGTTACTCCATTTTTAATTTTTTTTTTTTTTAAAGCAAATTTTGTCTCAAGGGTATTTCTATCACAGAAAGATTCAGTTTCATCTACCGTTACAGGAACATTCCGGGAATTTCTGCAGTTAGTTACAAGCAGGTATTGGGAAAGGAACAGTTCCAGCACCACAGCAAATGAGTCAAGGCAGAAAGTCAAAATGACATGGTCAACACTGTGCTGAGTGCTCAGCTCAGAGCTGCAGCACTGAGTGCATCCACACTGTGTGGACAGATCTCCAGCAATCACTCCCTGCTTTTTTAATGCTTCACCATTTGGAGCAAGGAAGGGAAGTGAATACTGAAGTCAACACACAACTATCAGAGGACTACTTTAGCAATTTCAATTCCATGGCCTACCTCTGCCAGTTGCTGCTGTAGCTCTGCAATCCTTTGCTCATATATCATCTTCCTGTCAGACACAATAGCCATCAAGTTAAACCTTATTTCACCTTCACTGTATCTAAATGAGGAAC